TCTCATGGAGACTGGTGAATTTGAACTGTGTTCCTTTGAGTTGACTGCATAATTATTATATTGATAGGCCATTGGAGCCCCACAGGGTCACTGTGTTGTTGTTGTTGTTATATGCCATTGAGTCGCTTACAACTCATAGAGGCCCTATATATAACAGCCCTAAACCCTGCTCTATCCTGTGCCAATTGCACTGTCTCTGACACACCCATCCCGATTACCCCAGTCACTGAATCAATCCACCTCATAGAGGGTGTTCCCCTCTTGCGCTGTCCCTCCACCCTCCCAAGCATGATGTCCCTCTCCAAGGACTGGTCTCTCCTTGCAACATGTCCAAAGTATGTCAGATGAAGCCCCAGAATCCTTGCCTCCAAGGAGCAGCCTGGTTTAACCCTCTCCAAGATGAATCTGTTTGTTTTCTTGGCAGTCCATGGTATATTCAATACTCTTCTCTAGCACCATAGCTCAAAGGCATCAATTCTCCTTCTATCCTCCCTAGTCACTGTCCAACTCTCTGAAGCTGTGGTGCTGGAGAAGAGTATTGAATATACCATGGACTGCCAAGAAAACAAACAGATTCATCCTGGAAAGGGTTAAACTAGGCTGCTCCTTGGAGGCAAGGATTCTGGGGCTTCGTCTGACATACTTTGGACATGTAAGGAGGGACAGGTCCTTGAAGAGGGACATCATGCTTGGTGGGGTGGAGGGACAGTGCCGGAGAGGAAGGCCCTCTATGAGGTGCATTGATTCAGTAACTGGGGTAATCGGGATGGGAGTGTCAGAGACAGTGCGATTGGCACAGGACAGAGTTTATGCCCTGTGTTTGGCTTTACTTCGCACTTGTCTGTGACCTTTAGCCTAAAGCCAAGGAGGGGCTGACCCCTCCCCTTTAATATTTGAGGTCAGTCAGCTGCCAGCTCTCTGAGGCCCACCACGGAGCAGGGTGTTCCTGCCTGTCTTCATAAGCTGTTGTACGTTAAATGCGCCCAGACACTTCTATCAGGTTTCTTTAATCATCATAAACTCTTTATTTTCCTTTTTAAATAGATTTGTAGTTCTTTATTTACAATAATTTTGGTGTTGTAAGTGGAATCCACAGGTAACTTCCTCCAGCAGCCCCCAGAAAGCCCAGAAACTAAGCTCTGGACATAAAGGAGCAAATTGGAGTTTTCTACAGATCTTAGGGGTCTGAGAAGTACCTCATGGATCTTTGAAATTCTCCTCACCATGTCAGTCAATAAAATTTCATTACAGGTTTATTTTAATCATTGTTTCAATACTGTCATCATTCTGTCTGAATTTGTCTTCCCTCCTCTCACCGTCCTGAATTCTAGGAGAGGTAATCCTAATTCTTGAGTCTTGGGGTACTCACAGGGGGTAATTCTACTGTCTGCATGAAGTAGTACCCCTTTGGCCCCTTGTCTGTGGTCCTTGAGGTCCCCCAAGAGGGTGCCGAAAAGGGTCCTTAAGGTTCCCCTTTTTGTAAAATATCCTGTTTGCAAAGTTGAGTTAAAATTTGAGATGGTTTTAACAGTGTCAGAGCAGGGACCAGGAACCACCGTTTACCTGGCAACTGCCCAGCACAGCCATCACTTCACCCCATGGCCATCACCACTGGCCTCACCTCTGTTCTTCACTTACAAAGGCTTCCATTCTATCACAAGTGTGTGATGCTATTTGGCACTTTGGAGGTGCCCTCTAGCCATTTTTCTGCCTGGAACCTGAGAACACTGCTTAAGAAAAAACACAGAGGAAGACAGAAAAAGTGAGGCACAGGGGACCAAGGCAAAAGCCAAGGCCCTGAGCATTTCTTTTTCTTAGCATATAGAGAATATAAACATTCCATTACTATCAGAATAACCAGACTTCTTGTTACACAGCAAAAAATTATCTCAAAGACTCTAAAGTAACATATCTAACAGTTATCTCTGGGTCTTAAAAGGAGTGTGTCCTTGGATATCCAAGAACCAGAACAAAATGATTTACTCAGAAAATCCTAACAAGCATACAAAAAGCTTATCTCTATTTTCTGCAAACTCTCAAGGACAGTAGTTTCTCATAAATACTCTATACTTTCCAAGACTGTCAAGGACTTTAGTTTCCCATTAATTAAGACTTCACAGCTGCTCTTCTGGGTCTTGTGAAGTCTCATGAATGGTCCCTGTTTTCTTGGGACACATCTGCGTGCTTGTTCAGGAAGCTGTTTTCAGCTAACTTCCCACTGAGTGTTCTCAGAGCAGTACTCTAGACTTACCCTCTGACAGTCAACCAAGGCACAGTGGCTTCAGAAACTCTCACAGCGCCCTGTACTCATGCCCTCACTCAATAAACACACAGGCCAAACCTCTTCATATTGAGACTGTTGATCAGCCTGGGATTTCTCCTGACACACTTCATTCCTACTGACCACTTCACTGGCCTCCTGGATGGCTCTCACCAACTGAGCCTTCAGAAAGTGATGGTGCCATTTGGTGAGGTTTCTTTCGTAAGTCGTTCTTTGGAGATAGCAAGAAAAACATCCTTCTTTCATGTTTTCAATAGCTGTGGTGGGAAATTCCATAATACAACCATCTATTTGAAAAGTGTATTGAAGACAATGGAACAGTTCTTTTGACTGACATAGCAAAGCCATAAAAAGGGCAAATTATTCTAAATTGCTTCTTTAAAGAATCCTATAAAAGATACAAACTGTTGTTGAAGATTATTTAAAAAATGGCTGGAATAGTCAGTCAACAGGAAATTGCCAGAAATTTAATTTGGCCCCAAGAAGAGGCCTTAGCACAAGGGAGATAACTGCTGATGTCAGATGGATCTTGGTTGAAGTGGAAAATGCCAGAAAGATGTTTACTGTGTTTTATTGAATGTAAAGGCATTTGATGAATCATAACAGATTATGGGTAACACTGAGAATGGGAAACCCAGAGGATGGTTCTGCTGTCTTCCAAGGTTTCTGAGCCTGAGACTCACTGACAGCATCTTTAACAGATGAGGGGATTGGGGTGCACACACAGCTGGGGCTCAGCCTGTACCTGGGTGCAGGTAGGATGTAGACCTGGAGGGGGATTCGCAGATGATGTGCCTACCCAGGCAGAGGGGATCTCAGTGTAGACCCGGGGCTTCGAGGGGATCACAGTGGGGGATTCCTTGCGTCACCTACACAGGCCAGACACCAGTGAGAGCAGGAGGGCTTGGGGCCTGGCTGCAGGGGTCCACAGAGAAGGGGTGCAGAGACGGGAGGGTGCCAGGATCTCTGGGTCTGTGGGAGGGGTAGGTAGGACCAGGGTAGGGCAAAGTGGACAGTCCCAGCGCAGGACTTCCCAGGCTCTGTTTTGGTGGCTCTGACCCAGGTAGCAGGGATGTGGGGAGTAGGGAACCTGGTGGTAGAGGTGGCAAATAGATGCTCCGGTCTTAGATTCCAGTGATGCCTCTGGAAAGGCAGTGCCAACCAAGTGCCCTGGAGGAGAGGATGGGGAGGGGGTGGCACTGTGGGCCAACTGCACCCCCAACACAGCCAACACCAAGACCCTGAGGGTCAGGAGAGGGCAGGGAGCCTGGAGCAGGCTGGGTGGCAGGAGGAGCAAGTGAAAAGATAGGTAGCCAAGCTCCAGCCCCAGCCTCCCCACCCCTCCATTTCTTGTGAATAGTTGGGGAGGGTCTTTGAGCTTTGGCGTGTCTGTTGTTAGGGCAAAAAAGCCAAGTGTCTATTGGGAAGATGAGGGTGAGAGGCCCTGCGTGTCTTGATTTACACACTAGTGTGGGCAGAAGGCTCCAAGGGCTTCAGCAATACCCTGAGCTGAGCTCGCTCATCTGTTATGTGGGGGCACCGGCCTTGGCTGGGAGGGAGCAGCCTGGGACTCGGGAGCCACTGAAGGTGTTTCAGTAAGGGAATGCCTAGACAGTAATACTGCTTGTTTTGGGGGCAACCAAAAGGGAGGCTATGCTGTGGCAAGTGAAGGAGAGAGCCCCACACCCCTCCACAGAGAACACCCTGCGTGGGAGGTGGGGAGGCGGGGCCTGGGCCACAGAGAGGGAAGCTGAGGGGTGACCTCCCTATGAAGCGAAGACCTTGCTTGGAGTCACCAGCAGGAGGGGCTTCAGAGAATCCTGGCCAGTGCTCCGGAGTGGTGTTAGACCAGCCTGCATCTGTCCACCTCTGTCCTTTCTCTGGAAGAGATTCGGTCCCCAACACTGTCCCCTCCAGATCTGGATGGCTGCCTGTGACTCTGACTCACCCCTAAGAGTCAAATAGGCTCCAGGGGAGTGCAGCATTCCTCGATGGCCCCTCGTCGAGGTCCTATCCCCCAGCCAACACCCCCTAGTCCTTGGATTTGCTCTCATCAGAAGGCCAGCCCCTACTTAGCCCCACCGCACCCCCACCATAGTCAGGAGTCCAGTCCCCGCTAGTCCTGGGAACAAGGCGGGCTGGACCTTCTGAGTGGCTTCAGTGACTCACTAACCCCCAAGCCAGTGAGCAGGTGCTTCGCCCCATGTGGTGCACGGACGGGGAGGGGCCCCCAGCCCACGCAGTTGAGGGTTTGCCACGCAGTGGACTTTCGCTACACGCACCTAAGGCCTTAGTTTTGCTGAACAATGTCACATAGCTTTCCCGGGAAGTGTCCCCGGGACGTGTCCCCGGAAACTAATGGGGTGAACGCCGGGCACTCCTATGCCTGATCGGCTCAGGACCCCAGCAGCCCCGCGGACTCCCGCTCTGTGTCCGCCTCTTCCCCACCTGCAAACTGCGTGGGGCCTCGGACGCGGCCGGAGCGCGGAGCCCTGCGCGGGCGACAGGGGCGCACCGGGTCTGGCGGGGGAAGGCGTCAGGCGGGGTCAGGCCCGAGCCACGCTTGCCTGCGGGGGAGCGGTGGGTCCTAGTGAAACTTTACTTTCTCAGAAAAGGAAAACGAAAGCGAAAGCAAGCGGGTCACATGACTCGCGCCGGGTATTTAAGAGGCCTCGGGCCGCCGGCCTCCAGCGTGCAGGGGACTGTGGTCGCCGGCGTTATGGAGTGTCCTTCCTGCCAGCACGTCTCGGTCGAGCAGGCGGCCAAGTTCTGCAGCCAGTGTGGGACCAGCCTCGCTGCCCCCGCGCCAGGTGAGGCCAGCGGGGTCCCCGGGTGGGCCGGGGCCGGTGGCTGCACGCGGGTCCCGGAGGCGCTTCCCGGAGGCAGGCCCGCAGCCGGGAGCGCACAGCCGCCGCGTCCCTGGGACCTGCCGCTTCCTTTCTCAAGAGGGATGTGGGCGGGCCTTTGTCCCTCGGCGTGCAGCTGCAGCGGACTTCTGAGGAT